AGACACATCATGTGTCCTAGAAATAAGTGAATAACAGTGCCCAGGGCTCTGGCCCATGCTTCTGGATGACAGTTGAACCCCCATTGATCCTGGGAGCCCAAAAAGGGCAGCCAGATCACCTGCAGCTTGCCCCTCAGGGATGTCCAGGAAGCCTGCAACAGATTGGAACAACCAAGCTATGGAGTCGTGGTGCAGGGGGTTCCAGAAACATGGTAGGGAGCATGGGCAGGTGAGGAGCTAAAGAGTAAAGGCACTAAAGGAGTGTGTGATCTTAGATGAAAACGTTCTGGCAGCAGCCACCAGCAAAGCACCACAGGTACAGGCTGTGGGCACAGCAAGCCACCCTCTGCCTACAGTGCCAGCATCCTACACAGCAGTGAGTCTAGTCCCAGCTGCTCCACTTCCAATCTAGCTCCCTGCTGATGGTCTGGGAGAGCAGCCAAAAATGGTCCAAGTCTTTAGGCTCCTCAAGCCGCCTGGGAGATGCAGAAGAGCCTCCTGGCTTCCAGCTTTGGACTGGCCCAGCTCCAGCAGTTATGGCCATTTGGGGAGTGAATCAACAGATGCAGGAGCTCTCTGTCTTTCTCTCTCTCTCTAATTCTGTTTTTCAAGTAAAATAAATAAATATTTTTAAATGAAGAAAAATTAAATAATTTCAAAAAGAATTTCAGAGGCCCTGCACGATGGCCTGGTGGCTGGAATTCTCACCTTTCATGCGCCAGGATCCCATGTGAGCACCGGTTCATGTTCTCCAGGTACTCTGCTTCCCTTCCGGCTCCCTGCTTGTGGCCTGGGAAAGCCGTGGAGGATAGCCCAAGACCTCGGGACCCTGCACCCATGTGGGAGACCTGAAGGAAGCTCCTGGTTCCTGGTTTCAGACTGGCTCAGCTCCAGCCATTGCAGTCACTTGAGGAGTGGGCCAGCAGATGAAAGATCTTTCTCTGCCTCTCCTTTCTGTGGATTCGACTTTCCAATTAAAAAAAAGATTAATCTTTAAAAAGAAAAGAAGAGTTTCAGCACCTCAGGGAGCTAAGGCAGGTACCCCCTGCGATGCCAGCATCCTTTTTGCATGCCAGCTCATCTCAGCTGCTCCACTTGCAATCCAGCTCCCCACTAATGCACCTGGGAAGGTAGAAGATGGCCCAAGAGCTTGGGCATGCATTACCTACATGGCAGATCCAGAGTGCTTGGCTTCCAGCTTCAGTCCTGGCTCAGTCCCAGCCATTGTGGCCACTTAGAGAGTGAACCAATGGACTGAAGGTCTGTCTCTCTTGCTTTGTATAAAAAGATGTATTTATTGACTTAGAAACTCAAAGTTTCAGAGAGAGAAAGGATCCCCCATTCCCTTGGTTCACTCCCCAAATGACCACAACAGCCAGCACGAAGCCAGGAGCTTCCTGCAGGTCCCCCACATGGGTAGCAGGGACCCAAGTGCCTGGGCCACCCCGGCTGCTTTCCCAGACTATTAGCAGGGAGTGGGATTGGAAGTGGAATAGCCCGGACACAAACTGACGCCCATATGGGATACCAATGTCGTAGGTGGTGGCTTTACCCACTATGCCCCAACATGGTCCTGAGATCAGGTCTCTCTCTCTCATCTGATTTTCAAAAGAATATTTTTTAAGACATAAGACTCTAATGGCCAGTGGGGTGATCTCTGGCCCAAGCTTGGGCCTGGAACAGTCTCAGAATTGGGAGACCTGAGACAAGCCCTCCCCATCTCCATCCAGCCTGGCTGGGCTCCCTGACAATTCTACCAGAGCCCTGGAGGGAGTCTGCACTGTCAGGTGGACTTCGTGGCTGAACTGAGATGAATGCTGAGGCGGAAGGCACTGGAGAAGGGCTGCCTGTGGTCACCTCAGAGCCAGACTAGCTATTTCCAGGGCAGGAACCCCTGCCTGTCCCAGGACCTTCCATGTCACAAGCAGGAGCCCCCACCATGCTGATTCAGTGCCTACTTAGCCCTGGTTCGGCCAGCCTGATGAAGATAGGCACTTAAAATAAAAAGATTCATTTTGTTTTTATTGCCAAGTCAGATATACAGAGTAGGAAAGACAGAGAGGAAGATCTTCCATTCGATGTTTCACTCCCCAAGTGACCACAACGGTCAGAGCTGAGGCAACCCAGAGCCAGGAGCTTCTTCCAGGTCTCCCACGTGGGTGCAGGGTCCCAAAGAGACAAGGGCTGAGGACAGTGGGCATCAGATTAGCCAGGGCCACAGCTATGACGAGGGCCATGAGAAGGCTTTGCCCGGATTTAGATTGGGCGTCTGAAGCTGCAAGGAGCTGAGCTCAGGACCTGCCCCCTCAGACAGGACCTCAATTCTGTCAGCAGTTTTGGGAGGGAGAAGCTGCTGTAGCTCCCACCCCCACTGACCCGCTATGTGACACCCCGAGTCACTTCTCTGGGGTCCTCTGTTCCTTTGCAAAATGAGAGCAGTGGTTTCCTTCTCTAAACGATTATGAAAGCATTTCAAAAAGTTCATGGACAACGGAATGAAGAGATGTTTCTTTTGGTACAAAGGCATTTTGAAAACCGCGCACAGTTTCCTATTTCACGGTACACATTTTCCATAGACTTGTTTGCTGTCCTTTGGTATGTAAGATGCTGAACAAGGCAGAGCTCACACGAGCACCCTCCCCCGGCCCCAGAGGAAGCCACTGTGCTCCCTCCCCACCTGCTGGACCACAGACAGCCCCAAAACCCTCACCACCCCCCAAGGAGCCCCATTGCTGGACCTTAAGGCTGCACAGAAATGTCTGCTCTGGCCCGTGCCTTCCTCCCTGACACCAGCCTCCCCGGTGAACCCCAACCCCGCAACATTCAGCAGCTCAGCTCCACTCCTCATGCCTCCTCCTCAGCTCCCTTCCTAATCCTTTCCTCACACCCTAACCCCTTACACCCTGACCTCTCCTCACACCCGGACCTTTCTTCACACCCGGACATTCCTCAGACTCCGACCCCCTCAGACCTCGGCCCTTCTTCACACCAGGACACCCCATACCCTGAATCCCCTCTCACACCCCAACCCTTCTTCACGCCCCGACACCCTGAGACCCTGAACCCCGCTTACACCCTGACCCCTCCCTACACCCCGACCCCCTCTCACACTCAGACCGCCCTCAGACCTTGACCCTTCTTTATACTCCAACCCCCTCAGACCCTGACCTTTCTTCACACCCTGACACCCCTCAGACCCGGAACCAACTCACACCTCCATCCCCCTCGCACCCCGAATGCCTCAGATCCCCACATCCTCTTACACCCCGACCCCCATTCAGACTTCGACCCCCTCACACCCTAACATCCCTGAGACTCCTACACAACCCTCCTCACATCCCCATCCCCCTCACACGCTAACACCTCCTCACACCCCAACTTCCTCTCAGAACCCCAAATGCCTCAGATCCCCACCCTTCTTCACACCCCGGCCCCCCTCAGACCCCAAGCCCCTCATACCCCGACCACTCCTCACACCCCAACTTCCTCTCAGAACCCCAAATGCCTCAGATCCCCACACCCTCTCACACCCCGACCCCCCTCAGACCCTGACCCCCTCACACCTCGACCCCCTCACACCTCGTCCCCCTCACACCCTGACTCCTCCTTACACCCCGACCCCCTTCAGATCCGGACTCTTCTTCACACCCTGACATCCCTCAGACCCCAACCCTCTCTCACACCCCAACTCCCCTCAGACCTCAATCCCCCTCACACCCCGACCCTCCTCACACACTCTGACCTTTCTTCACATCCCAACACCCCTGAGGCCCCCGACCCCCTCACACCTCGACCCCCCTCACACCTCTGTCGCCCTCACACCCTGACCCTCTCACACCCCGACCCTCCTCACATTCTGACCTTTCTTCACAACCCAACACCCCTGAGACCCCGAACCCCACTCATATCCAGACACCCCTCAGACCTTAACCCCTCCTCACACCTCGACCTTCTTCACACCAGGACACCCCTCAGACCCCCCTCAAACCTCAACCCTTCTTCACATCCGAACATCCTAGACCCTGAGCCCCCTCAGACCTTCTTCACACCCCGACCCACTTTACACCCCGACACCCCTGAGAACCCTGAAACCCACTCACACCCTGACCCCCCTCACACCCCGGCCCCCCTCACACCCTGACCCCCCCTCACACCCCGGCCCCCCTCACACCCTGACCCCCCCTCACACCCCGGCCCCCCTCACACCCCGGTCCTCCTCACGCCCCAACCCCCTCACACTCTGACCCTCTCAAACTCCAAACCCCTCTCACACTCCGACCGCTCCTTATACCCCGACACCCCTCACACTCTGACCCCATCAGGTCTCGACCCTTCTTCACACCCCAACCCCGCCCCACACCCCTACACCCCTCAGACCCCAAACCCTGCTCACACCGTGACCCCTCCTTACACCCTGAACCCCCTCAGACCCCGACCCTTCTTCACACCCCCACCCCCTCACACCCCGACCTCCTCAGATCCCGATCCCCTCCTTATATCCCACCTTCCTCACACGCTGACACCCCAGACCTGCAGCCCCGCCCCCGGCCCCCCGGCCCGCGGAGCGCGGGCTCCACCCAGCGTCTGCCAGGCGCGCTGCGGCGGCCGCTGCGGGGTCTCAAATACTGCGGCCACACCCGGGCCAGGATGGAGACCCTCGCAAGCGTGTACCGACCCTGCTCCGTCCGCCGAGTCCTGCACGCAGCGGGCGGGCGGATGGGGGGCAATCCCTCTTCGTCAGTCGCGGTCCCTTTAAGGGACCAGCGGGCGCGCCTCGTATTAGCAATCATTAGCATATGTTGGCCTGGCCCCGCCCCGGGGCGGGTTCGGGGCGCGGAGCGCGGGTTGTCGGGGTGTCGGGAGCCGGGCGCGCACCGCGGAACGGCCGCCGGGAGCCGGGCGCGCACCGCCGAGCCGAGCGCCGGGAGCCGGGCGCGCACCGCGGAACGGCCGCCGGGAGCCGGGCGCGCAGCCTCCTGGACCCCGGGCCTCCGAGCGGGATGGGGCCCCGCGCCGCCCGCGGTCCCGGCCCGCCCCCGCCGCTCCCCGGGCCCCGCGCGCCGCTGCTGCCGCCGCTGCTGCTGTTGCTGCTGCTGGGAGGCCGCGGGGGCCGCTCGGCGCCCGCGTCCCGCGCCGAGGACCTCAGCCTGGGAGCGGTGAGTGCGCGGCCGGGGCGAGGCGGGCCGTGCGTCCTGCGCCCCTCTCCCGGGCCGGGCAGCCCAGGGAGCCCCGGACACGCTGCAGCCGCAGGGGCACGAGTCGGGTCCCGCGTGGGCTCGGCCGGTGCCCGGGCCGGGGCCGCCCCCTGGCTCTCCCCAGCCCCCACCCCGCCCCGGCTGCGCCGACGGCGTGGCCAGCGGCCCCGAGGGTGGGCTCGGGCTCAGTGGTCGCAGGCTCTGCACTGGTGCGCCCCGAAGCCAGGTCGCAAACAGCGTAGTGCGCTCCAGGTCCGCGGGGCGTTCGGATGGGGGCGTCGGGGCGGCTTCGCGGGTCTCAGCGGACCGGACCTCCGCCCGGGCCGTCCTGGTCCTCCCCGCGTCCGCGGAGGGCACTGCGTGCCGGCACCTCGGGGCTCCCACACGGAAGCGTCCCGGTCTCCGGTGGCCATCTGTGCCAAGGAACCCTGGTCACCCCCGCCGGGCCTGCCCCCGCGCCCCGCCGCCCCGGTGCACTGCTGAGCCGCGGCGCGCGGGGAAGTTTCCCGCGGCCGGCCGGGGCAGCGGAGCCGGCGCGGCCTCGGCGCACACCTGCGCCCCGGCCTGCCCTCCCGGGCCTCTGCCGAGAGCGCGGTGCAGGTGTCAGCGCGGCGGTGCGGGGCGCCCTCTGCCGCCCGCCCGAGCACCCGCGAGCGGGCAGAGTGTCCCGAGGCCCCGGGCAAGGACTCCGGTCGGCCCGCCCCGCTGCCCTCGGGGGTCTGCGGCGGCCCGGAGGAGAAGGGCGCCTTTGTGAGTGGGGCCAGCCTCGCGGACCTCAGCCACCCCGTAGCCGGGCACAAAGCCTGGATTGCCACCTTCCCGCCGGCCGCCAGGCGGGGGCTTCCGGGCCTGTATCCTGGGTGGGTAAAGCCCGAGTTGGGAGGGGTGTGAGGGAGTCAGCTCGCCTCACTCCCTCGTCCCTGGGGTCCCCAGGAGGAGGGCAGCACATCCTGTGCCCATGCCTGTGCCCTCCCAAACGTCCGTGCAAACCAGGCCTGTCCACTCCCTGCCACCACGTTGCCATCAGGTGGCCTGGCTCAGGCGAGGACAGCCATTCCTGACAGCGTTGGGGCCAGGACCTCTGGTCACCTGGATAGGGTGAGGGGTCTGGAGGCAGGTGTGGGTTCAAGTGCAGGTGACAGGGCCAGCTGTCCTCAAGATGCCAACAACCCCTTCTGGGCAGGGCTAGGCTCCTAGGGGAGCCCTGGGGTGGTGGTAGCCAGCTCCATCAGGAAAGGGGTGGGCAAGACCCCTGAGGGCAACCTCCTGGGCCTGGCTCCTCAGGCCTGATGACCAAACCAAGCTGAACCTCCCCCACAACATGTGCCCACTGAGCTCAGGCTCCTGCTGAAAGGACTGTTGGTCCCCTGCTGCATGGCTGCCCCTGTGTGCCCACTGAGCTCGGGTACCCGCTGAGAGGCTCACCTGTGCTCCCCTTCCCTCCTGTGCCCTGGCTCAGTGTCCCCTGCTGCGTGGCTACCCCTGTGCCCCCACTGAGCTCAGGTACCCCCTGAGAGCACCCACGGTTCACTGCTCCAAGGTTTGACCTGGTGGCTGCGTGGCTGTTACTTGCTGCAGGCAGGGCTCTATACCAGGTCACAGTGCCTGGAGCTGGTGTCCCTGGGCGTGCCATGGTACTGTGGGGGTGGGGATGGTGGTGTGGGGTCCTTTGGGGGGACCCTGGGCCTGCCTGGGGTTGGTAGCAGCCTCAGGTCTCTGTGGACTGGGGTTCAGGGAGATGCCTGGGGTTGGCGGTGGCTTAGGCTTCGGACGGGCTAGGGCACAGGGGGCACCAGGCCATCCCTTGAACACACACCCCTGCCGTGGGCCTCTGCAGGTCCATCCCGTGAGCTGTTGGGGTGGGGACAAGTGTCCTGGGCATGGCTGCCCCTCACACTGGAACCATTGGCCACCTGCTCCTCCCACCCTCAGGGCTTGCCAGCTTTTTCCTGCTGCCTGTGAGGCTCAGGCTGGTCCTGGCTCAGGCCTCTGCAGCAGCTGTACCCACGGCTCTGCCTGTGGTGTGTCCAGGGCATTTCTGAGTGCTGACTTGATGAGGTCCCCCATCCCTCAGCCAGTGGGCAGTGCCCAGGTCCTGGGATGACAGCTGGGAAACCACAGCCAGCTGTTCCTGCCAACCGCGTGGCCATGGGCAGGGCCCCAGCCTCCCTCGGGTTTCCACAGTGGTACCTGCTCCACAGATCCACTGGGCATTGCCTGGTGGAGTACCTGCTATAGGCAGAAGAGCAGGCAGGGGAGTGTGCCTCCTTGGAGTTGCCGGGGTCCTCCGCAGTGGCCACCACTGCTGACACAGCAATAACAGGAACCCACACATTTGCATGGTCACCAATTGTCTGTCCGTTGCCAGATGAGTGATTGGATGTCCCCAGCATGAGCAGTGCCAGAATAGCCAGAGGGAAGTTGAGGGTGTCTGGCAGTCTCCCCTAGGGGAAGATGGGCACAGAGGAGGTGCCAGCCTACACCCACCAGCACCTTTCTTCTGCCCTCCGGAGGAGCTAAGGGGCCAGACTAAGGTGCTGGAGCTGGGCCATAGCTCCAAGCCTGATCCTGGGCCCTGGGCCCATGAGCGGTCACCCACGCCATGGGGCTCTGCCTCACTTGTGTAGGAGGGCTTGAATGGGTAAGTAGAGCATGTGGAGACGGGACAAGCTGTGGTGACAGGGGTTATCCTGGAGTGACATCAGCATGAGCATCCCAGGAGAGTGGGATGCTGAGGCTACAACCCACACGCCAGCCTTCTCCTGGCTGGGCCTCCAAGAGTCCCAGGGCATGCGGGGTATCAGTTCAGCAAGCCCAGGATAAGTGGCTGGGCTCTTTGTAAACTTACTGGGCCCCTTCCTTGGGGGCGATGCTGTGTGCACTGTGGTAAGAGGCACCCGTGTCTACAGGTGACAAACTTGATGGACTGGGCCGGTGCAGGCTCCCCTTCCCACCTGTGCCTTGGCTCAGTGTCCCCTGCCTGTGGCGCCAGGGCCAGTGCTGGTGACAGCCCAGGATGAGCAGGGGCCAGTATGGGGACTCTGTAGCCTCAGGTTGTTGCTGTTGGGGAGGGGTTCCCTGCCCACCCCGTCCCGCCTCCTGCCACCCCATCCCCTCCCCAGTGGCCTTCTGGAAGGTTCACCTCCATCAGTGCTGCGACTCCGCCTGCCACAGCCTCCGTTGCCCTGGAGACAGTAGTCTCCGTGGTGACAGCAGAGCGAGGCCCAAGGGGTGGGTGGGCAGGAAGCCGGCAGATGAGGACTGGAGCCCCGGGCTGCTGCCGTCCACAGACACTGTAGGTACTGGGAACGGGGCACCCAAGGAGGGGGGATGCCCTCCCAGGGGCTGTCCTGCCGCAGCCACCCCCACGGGTGGGTGTGAGCAGGGTGAGCCACCAGCTAGATTGGCTTCCTTGCAGCCTTTGTTCTAGGCGGGGCCAGCCTCTAGGCCTGGCTGACGCTCCCTCTTCCCCAGCCGGTCAGGGAACCCACTCCCCAACAGTGAGCCCTAATAGCAGGAGCACGCCTCCCTCCTGGAGTCTGACTGGGCCTGGGCCTCAGCACAGATGGGAGAACAGGAAGAAGTTGAGCTGGGCCGGGCTGGGCTGGGGCAGCTTGTGGAGTTGAAGATGCAGTGAAGCAGGTGGTCACCCCTGTGTGTGTCCACCTGAGGCCACCAGGACCCTCCTAGGATTGCCCTTCTGTTCTGGCCGTGTATAGCACTTGTCCAGGAGCCAGCACTCCTGGCCTTGGTGCTGGACCTGTGTGCTGATGGCAGCTGCAGCTCCTCCCGAAGCCTGCTCCATCCTGCACAGCAAGTGCTGTGAGCTCCCAGGGGCCAGGCAAAGAACAGTGTCCTTGAGCTTAACACCCAGCGCTGGAGGCCAGAGGGCCACAAGGTGACCCTGGGAGCCCACTCTAGTCCTTGACCTCACACCTGCAGCCACACCGCAAGAACCCAGGCTCCGTCTGAAGACACTGCCCATGGAAAGGCTGTGGCTGTGAGCTCTTCAGCGAAGACTGGAGGTGTTTGGCTGGCCCCAGGCTGGGGACACACTAACCACTCACCATGTGGGCCACCCCGGGTGAGGCCTCTCTTCCTTCATCCGGATCACCTGCAGGCTAAGGAGTTTCAAATGTTTGTAGGACTTTTTGCAAAGCTGAGTTTAGGTGAGAATGTGACCTTGGCCAGTAAGTCCTGGGTGACTGGTGCGGTGTTTCCATGTGTCTGTGACATGGACGCCTGGGGCTCTACAGACCCTCTCGCCTGCTGGGCTGCCGTTGCTCACATCCGGAGAGTGCAGGTCCTGCCTCTCTGCCTCTTGTCCCAGGTCTGCAGTCACAGCCTCGAAGGGCCCCTGTCGGGGCAGAGGGGCGAAGGAAGAACTAGGGCCCCAGAGTGCATGTTACATGCAAAGCAAGCTAGCACTCTGCAGGTGTTTGCAGATCACGAGCCCCACCAGCTGGTCAGGGAGGCTCCTGCCTGCCTGAGGCTTGGGCAATGCCACAGGGAGGAGCTGCACTCCCACCACCCCAGGCACAGGTCCAAGACCACTACCCGGTGTGGCCTGCAAAAGGGGCTGGGGCCACCCGGCTGCCCAGGAGGCTCAGGCAGAGGCGTGGGGGGTCAACAAAAACTCAAGGCAAGAATCTTTGAGTTCCCAGCACAGCACCCAGGTTCATCATTCCCTGGATGCAGGCTCAGGGCAGGGACCTGTTGGTGTCCGGGGTAGGGAGCAGAGGGCCCCAGCTGGGCCCGTGGCAGGGTCTCGGGAAGATGGTCAAAACCCTGGCTGCATGGGCCCTTCCTGAGCCAGTGGGGACACCAAGATTGGCTGGGGTGAAGCTGCGCCCTTTCTGGGCTCTGGACAGCACATCCGGACAGGGGCCCTTGCCTCAGGAAGTCTGCATGTGCTGGGCCAGGTGCTGCTGTGGGCATTCCCACATCCTGAGTGGGGCTTCAGTCTCGGGAACAGCCAGCCCCAAGGCTGGGCACCCGGGTCTCACCCCTGGGAGGTGGGACCTGATTTCTGAACACGTGCAGTCTGGCTCAAGCCTGGGCACTGTCCTGCCTGTGTCCTTCTGTGTGTGTGTGTGTGTGTGTGTGTGTGTGTGTGTCTGTGTGTCTGTGTGTCTGTGTGTCTGTCTCTGTATATGTGTGTGTGTCTGCTCCTCTGTCGCTGCAGCTCATGCCTTGGTTCCTCTCACCACCTTCTGGCTTGCCCCTCACTAACAAGCTTGGGTCCTGCCTTTGGTTCCACTGTGTTCCGGGACCTTCACATTTCATTGCCTTGAGTGTCCCTTGGGCATTTGCTGTCTCAGAGGCCTGAGGCGAGGCGGGGCCGTCAGGAGCAGCTGAGTTCTCCCTGCACGAGCTCACTTCACTGAAGGACATCAGCAGAGTGATATGCTTAGCCAGCAGCTTTGACACCTGGGGGTGCTTAGGGAAGAAGGGCCTGTGGAGACCCAGCTGCCACTGCAGTGACTGGACACCTGGGCAGCTCCTCCTCTGTGGCCACCCCTCACTCTGCTGCCTGCTGTCTGCCCCCAGGAGTGGCTGAGCAGGTTCGGCTACCTGCCTCCGCCCGACCGCACCACTGGGCAGCTGCAGACTCAAGAGGAGCTCTCCAGGGCCATCACGGCCATGCAGCAGTTTGGCGGCCTGGAAGCCACCGGCGTCCTGGGTTAGTTCACCAGAAATGTGGGAGACACAGTGGCCTTTGGGGGCTGTGCCAGCTCACGTCAGCCCTCTGCATTGGTTGGGGCCCTGCTGCTAACTGTTCTGACACTGAACTTTGCATGTTGCTCCAGTCCTGGCCCCTGGACATAGTCCTTTGTGTGAGCCACAAGTTGAGCCCCAGCCCTGCAGCAGGCCTCGCATGATGCAGCTTGGGCTCCTGGGGAGACCCGGGGAATCCTGAGTTGCGGGGAGTGTGAGCTGGGCCTGGCTCCTGAGCTTCAACCCCCAACCCCTGCAGACGAGGCCACCCTGGCACTCATGAAGACCCCACGTTGCTCGCTCCCAGACCTGCCCACCGTGACCCCAGATCGACAGAGGCGCCAAACACCAGCCCCAACCAAATGGAACAAGAGAAATCTGTCCTGGAGGTGAGTGGTCAGGACCAGGGGCGAGGAGGAGACAAAAGCAGGGCTGAGGGGAGAAGAGGGGACAGGAGCAGGGCTGAGGGGTGAGTGGGGACAGGAGCAGGGCTGAGGGGTGAGGAATGGACAGGTGTAGATGTGAGGAAGGAACAGAAGGGCTGAAGGATGGGGAGGGGACAGAGCAGGGCTGAGGGGACAGGAGGAGGATGAGGGGGGACGGGGGGAATGGGCAGAGGATGCAGGAGGCAGTGCTTAGTGGACTCTGGTCTGACCCTGCCCGTAGGGTCCGAACCTTCCCCCGGGACTCACCCCTGGGCCGGGACACCATACGGGCACTCATGTACTACGCTCTCAAAGTCTGGAGCGACATCACACCGCTCAACTTCCACGAGGTGGCGGGCAGTGCTGCTGACATCCAGATTGATTTCTCAAGGGCTGACCACAACGACGGATACCCCTTTGATGGGCCCGGTGGCACCGTGGCCCATGCCTTCTTCCCTGGCGACCACCATGCCGCTGGAGACACCCACTTTGATGACGATGAGGCCTGGACATTCCGCTCGTCCGGTGTGTCTTGGGTCCTGGGCACCCGAAGCCCCGGGCTGATACAAGGAGCCACTCCCTCCCATGAGAGCCAGGGGGAGTAGTCATCCTGTGTGACAAATCCCAGACGCCAGGGCCTTGAACCTGCACATGTGTGCAGCTCCTGATTCAGGCCAGTACCTGAGAACCTTGGGCGGGTGAGGAAGCCCAGGGTTGATGTCCCCAGGTCCCCTCCAAGCACACAGGCACAAGGCAGAATGAGCTGCTCCAGCTGCCAGGACAGGACGCTCAGCTTAGCCAGGGTGGTGGGAAACCCTGAATGGGCACCCCCTTCCCATGGCTCACGTGGCTCCTATGCCTCCAGATGCCCACGGGATGGATCTGTTTGCTGTGGCCGTCCACGAATTTGGACACGCCATCGGGTTGGGCCACGTGGCTGCCACACGCTCCATCATGCGGCCATACTACCAGGGTCCAGTGGGTGACCCACTGCGCTACGGGCTCCCATACGAGGACAGAGTACGCATCTGGCAGCTCTATGGTGGGTGCTCCCAGGGATCCGACGGGGCGGGAGTCTCGGGGTCCCAAGGAGTGGTGGGTGTCTGGGCTATGCCCCCACCTGTGGTGAGCCAAGCTGTGAACATGGGTGTATAGGAATGTAGTGAGCCATGTCATGAACACAGGTGTGCAGGCATGTGTGAGCCATGTCATAAACACTGGTGTGTAGGTATGTGTGAACCATGTTATAAACATGGCCGTGCAGGCATGTATGAACCATGTCATAAACACTGGTGTGCAGGCATATGTGAACCATGTCATGAACACACATATGCAGGCATGTGTGAGCCATGTCATCAACATGGGTGTACAGATATTTTCTGTTCCTTTGCCTGAAGTGGGGTGTTGTAGCACTCAAACCCTTAGCTGGGTCATGCCAGCCCCTGTGGGCTTCTCATGTGTGCCCTGGTGGCCCAGCCCCTCCAAGGACACCTGTTCCATGTGGTTGTCTTCCCATCTGATTCATCAGCTGAGTGGCCTTAGGCTCACTCCAGGGACCAGGGAGCAGAGAGGGGGTGGCCTGGGGCTCAGTGCCTTTCTCCTCATGTCACAGGTGTGCGGGAGTCGGTGTCCCCTACGGCACAGCCAGACATCCCTGAGGCAGAGGGGCCACCCCCACTGCCAGAGCCCCTGGACAATCGCTCCAGTGCTGTGTAAGTGTGGCCACACATGGTGTCCGTGGGTGCTTGCCAGCCCCACGGCTCAGCCCTGTGAGCCCCCGCCCAGCCAGGGAGGGAGCACCCAGTCCCCCTGCCCCACCTGTTCTCCCTGCTCTGAACAGGAAGCCAGATGAAAAGGGGAATTTCATCCGCTGATTGACTCCCCAAGTGGTGGCGTAAGGCCAGAGCCAGGAGCTGGAACTCCAGCCGGGTCTCCCACATAGGAGGCAGGGGCACCTTGGCTCCATTTAGGGGGTGCCTAGACTGGGCTGACCTGAAGGGAGCCTCAGCTGGAGGTCCCTGGGGATGCTTCTGGCCTGCCTCAGCTCCATGTGGTAGCCCGGTTCCTGGAGCACTTGTCCTGAGAGCTGACGCTGCCAGTGACACTGGAGGTAACCCAGTCCCCAATCATCAGGTGCCCTGCAGCCTTGCTCACGGACAGGCAGGTCTGCCACCCCCTCCCCCTGCAGGGGCTGCCCTACCCTGTTTTTGGGCCTCCCCTGTCTGCCCACAACTGACTGGACGCCCTGGCCACCTCGCCTCTTGCATGCTCATGCTTGGGCTAACGGTGCAATCAGTGTGCGTGGGACTTGGTCTCAGTTTCTCGCTTGGCTGCATACCCTCCTGGTGTTTCTGGTGTGTTCTCAGTCCCTCACTGATGGACTGGGAGGTATGCACCAGCGGTACAGCTTTAAAAATGGGACAAGTCCTTTCTCCCCAGCAACCCAGGACCTGGACACAGATATCTGTATGTGTTCACACGAGGCCGGCGATGAGCCATGCTGCCCATTTGCTTTGAGTCAGCAGCCCAGGCCTGGACCTGTGTGGGCTGCTCTAAACTTCTCTGCTCAGAATCCTCTGCCAGAGGCCTTGGCCATCGCTGGCCTTGGGCCATGCTGGTGCACTTACTGTAGGGGGCACAGTCCTAGCAGGGCACCTGGGACCCCTGCACACATAGCTGGCACGGGCGGGGGGGCAGCTCCAGTCGTCCTGCTGGTTCCCAAAGACTCCTGCCGTCCTGTTTGCCCATCTCTGGGTATTTTCCCCCCATGTGGCATCTTTTACATCCCGCACCTGCAGTTGCTCAGCTCTGGGATGGGGGTCCCTCTGCCCTGCAGGCCCCGGAAGGACCTTCCTCACCGGTGCAGCACCCACTTTGATGCAGTGGCCCAGATCCGTGGCGAGGCATTCTTCTTCAAAGGTGAGCCCCAGTGGCACCCAGTGGGGGCAGCCCACCTTTGGCCCCAGGCTCCCCTGCCTGAAGCTGCCTCTCCCCTCCAATCCCCAGGCAAGTACTTCTGGCGGCTGACCCGAGACCGCCACCTGGTGTCACTGCAGCCAGCACAGATGCATCGCTTCTGGAGGGGCCTGCCACTGCACCTGGACAGCGTGGACGCTGTCTACGAGCGCACCAGTGACCACAAGATCGTCTTCTTCAAAGGTGGGTGGCCCCTCCTCCCCTGGGACATGGGCCTGGGACCTGCATTCCTGCCTGGAGCAGCCTGCTGAATGCCCATTGAGCGTCCGCTGTGTGCCTAGTCCCAGGGCAGACCCTGCAGGGTCTGGTTCTGCCAGGTATCTGAAAAGCTGCCATGAGTTACATCAGGGGCTGTCAGTGTGACGAGGAATGAGGGGTGCAAGTAGGGAAGGGTCTCTTAACAGAGTCACATGCTGAGGGAACCCTGGAGGCAGAGAGAGGAGCGAGGGAAGCCAGTCGACTTGCAGGGCTACAGCCCCTGGCTCTGAGGATGGCGGCTTTTGCAGCCCTGTCCACACAAGCCTTCGTCCCCTCCTGCTTGCCGCTGAGCTCAGGGTGGGCGTGGGGACAGCATGGAGGGGTTCACGCTTGGGCTGACAGAAATGGCGACTCTGAGGTGTGGAAGACACTGTGTGGGCGGGCCCGCGGGAGGCTGCTCTCACAGGTTGCCAGTCATGGAGCTGGGCCTGCCCTGGCTCTGCTGGGCATGGGAGGCTGCTCTCACAGGGTGCCAGTCATGGAGCTGGGCCTGCCCTGACTCTGCTGGGCACGGGAGGCTGCTCTCACAGGGTGCCAGTCATGGAGCTGGGCCTGCCCTGACTCTGCTGGGCACGGGAGGCTGCTCTCACAGGGTGCCAGTCATGGAGCTGGGCCTGCCCTGACTCTGCTGGGCACGGGAGGCTGCTCTCACAGGGTGCCAGTCATGGAGCTGGGCCTGCCCTGACTCTGCTGGGCTTTATCTTCATGACCTCCAGGAAGGCCCCTTGCGCACATCCAGCCACATTTAGAGTTCCAGGGTGTGAAGGAGTGGGGTGCTCGGTCTCCAGTCACTGGAGGGACCAGAAAGTCACCACGCATGCCTGTCGCTTCTAGCCCAGCCTCGCAGGGGCTGGCCACGGGCTCCTCATCACTGGACGCTAAGCAAGGATCATGGCGGGGCCTGCAGAGGTAGCCTGGGAGCTGCCAGCAGGGACCTGTGTGAGCAAAAAAGCAACTGCACAGGTTCCAGCCCCATCTGGAGGGCTTTTTAATGCAGCTTTCAGTCAGAGTTACAATTGGAGCCAGGGACAGAGAGGCTTCCATCACTGGTTCACGCTTCAGGTGGCCACAAATGGCCAAGATTGGGCCAGCTGAAGCCCAGGGCTTAGAGTGCATCCTGGTCTCCCATGTGGATGTCAGGGGTCCAGCTATCCGCTGCTTTCCCAGCCACCTGAGCTGGGAGCTGGATGGGAAGTCGAGCAGCACGGCCTGAACCCAGAGTTCTATATGAGTGCCTGCGTCACAGGTGGCAGTTTACCATACTGCGCCACAATACTATCCCCTTAGAGATAGCCTTAAAATAAATAAAATAAAATATTTAATTATTGGAAAGGCATATCCAGAGAGAAGGAGAGACAGAAAAAAAGATCTTTTTTTAAATATTTATTTATTGGAAAGTCAGATATACAGAGAGGAGGAGAGACAGAGAGGAAGATCTTCCATCCGATGATTCACTCCCAAAGTGAGCGCAATGGCCGATGCTATGCCGATCCGAAGCCAGGATCCAGGAACTTCTTCCAGGTATCCCACACAGGTGCAGGGTCCCAAAGCTTTGGGCTGTCCTCAACTGCTTTCCCAGGCCACAAGCAGGGAGCTGGATGGGAAGTGGAGCTGCTGGGATTAGAACCGGCGCCCATATGGGATCCCGGCGCATTCAAGACGAGGATTTTAGCCGCTAGGCCACGCCGCCGGGCCCAGAAAGAAAGATCTTTCACTGCTGGTTCTCACCGCAAGTGGCCACAACGGCTGGAGATGAGCTAGTCTAAAGCCAGGAGGCCTCCTCAGGATCTCCCATGTGGGTGCAGGGGCCCAAGGCTTTAGGCCGTCCTCCACTGCCCTTCGAGGCCACAAGCAGGGAGCTGCAGGGAAGTGCAGCAGCTGGGACTCTAACCAGCACCCATTTAGGATCTCAGCACTTGAAGAGGGAATTAGCCAATTGAGCCATTATGCCAGACCCTAGAGACAATCTCTCATCACCACACACAGCCCTCATCCAAAGTTTTAAAAACTATTTGAAAGGTTCACTCCCAAATGACTGCACCAGCCTGGGTGAGGCAGCAGCTAGGAGCCAGGAGCTCCATCCTAGAGGCCTGTGTGGCTGCCGGCACCCAAGCACTGGGGCCACCTTCCCCTGCTCTCCTCTACGTATCAGCAACAAGCTGAGTCTGAGCAGGTGCCCCAGTGTCTAAGGGCATTGCTGTCAGTTCTGGCTCAAGTGTGGGGCTGCTGAGGCACATCACCATCTTCCTTTAAATCGTAATTTCCTTCTCCACACGGACTGCCCCAGGAGCCCCAGTCAAGGGCAGCAACATCCTCCTGCTGCCATGCTCTCTGAGTGCTGGTGGGGCCAAGCTCCTTGCCTTGTGCTGTGGGTCCCTTAAACCTCTCCTCCAGGGAGGCGTCCACTCTGGCCTCTGCCCGGGGAGGACTCCCCAAAGCCGCATCTGTGCGGTGAGCGACGTGTTGGGCCAGGCCGAGCGCTGACCAGGGCTGGGAGGCCGCCAGGGCTGGCCTCTCACCTGCTGTGTGCTGGCCTGTCTGGAGCAGCTGCCGACGCCACCAGGCCCACAGTCGGCACTCTGAGCTTCCAGATGCCCAACGTGGGGTCTGTGGTCTTGTGGGCTGGACGGGGAGACGGGCTGGGGCACCCCGGCCCACGTTCTTTCTCTCATCCTCAGGAGACAGATACTGGGTGTTTAAGGACAATAACGTGGAGGAAGGCTACCCACGGCCCATCTCTGACTTCAGCCTCCCGCCGGGCGGCGTCGATGCCGCCTTCTCCTGGGCCCACAATGACAGGACTTATTTCTTTAAGGACCAGCGGTACTGGCGCTACGATGACCACACACGGCGCATGGACCCCGGCTACCCCGCCCAGAGTCCCCTGTGGAGGGGCGTCCCCAGCACGCTGGATGACGCCATGCGCTGGTCCGACGGTGAGCGCCGGCCAGGCCCATACGACTTCAGTCTGCTGAAACGGGAGCCACAGGGTGGTGGGGCTGCCCAGAGCCGCTGTGTGTCCAGGCCTGGCACGCAGCGGTGTGAGGCCATATGTCCCTTGAGCAGCCCTGTGCACTGGCCCAGCTCATGCTGGCTTCCTACTGCTCACACTGCTGCACCCACCACAGGTCTGGCCACACAGCCCCATCGCTCCCCTGCCGCAGGCCTCTGACCCAGGGCTCACCTGGAGTCCCCCACACTGGGGCCCCTGGGTGTGTGGGAGCCCTACCCCAAACTCAGCTCGCCTCCCCCTCTCCCCAGGTGCCTCCTACTTCTTCCGGGGCCTGGAGTACTGGAAAGTGCTAGATGGCGAGCTGGAGGCGGCACCGGGGTACCCACAGTCCACAGCCCGGGATTGGCTGGTCTGCGGAGAGCCCCAGGATGATGGCTCCGAGGCCGCAGGCGTGGACAGGGCGGCTGGGGCCCCCGCACAGCCTGGACAGCATGGCCAGAGCCGCTCTGGGGATGGCTACGAGGTGTGTTCCTGCACCTCCCACGCGCCACCCCTCCGGGGGGTTTCCATGATGACACTGCTGTTTCCCCTGCTGCTGCTGCTGCTGCTGCCGCCACCGCTGCCCTGCGTGCCCTGGACAGCAGCCGGGTCCTGACAACACAGCGGGAGCCACTGCCTCCACGGACATGGGAATCGGGATAGCTGGGACCACAGTGGCAGGGTACTACGCAGCTGCCTCTCCACTACCCAGAGCCAGAGACCCTGCAGCCTGGTCATGCAGATGGGGTGGACACTGCCAGCCCGCAGAAGGGTCCAAGTGCAGTGCACAGCACTGCCCTGGCATCACAGGGCTCCCTACGGCCCTCCGTGCCACCTGCTGTGAGCTGCAGAAATGACCCCACACGGCTTGCTGCTGAGCAGGCAGGCGACCACCCTGAGCAGGTGTCCAGGAGGCCTCTCCCAGCCTGGAGGAGCAGCATCGCCAGGGCCCAGGATCCCCTTCCACACTGCCCACCCACGTGTCCACACTGCCACCCCAGTGTCCCGTCCACCATGGGCCTTTGTTTCCCGTAGGCCACAGAGATGAGGTCCTTGTGATGCATTTCAGAATAACACGACCCTCAGCTTTGTAAGGCTCAGCTTGGGTCCCTCACACGCTCGGTGGGGCTCCTACACTCCGAGCCCAAGCCCACCAGGCTCCAGGAAATGCAGAGGTGGTCAGTCCGTCCTTGAGGCCTTGGCCTGCTCGGGGGCCGTGGGAGAGTTGAGGCCCAGAGTGGAGAAAGGAGCCTTGGTCAGCAGGTACAGAACACATGTCTAGACCTCAGGGGCCACGTCCTTTCACTTGCTTCGTGAGGGTCACTGTCAGAGGCAGACACAATCCATGCACAGGCTTCCCTCACCCTGCTCACCCTGGTTGGACCCCAAAAGTGTGGGCAGAAGCTGGGGTGCTGCAGGACTGAGAGGCAGGGCATGGCTTTGGGCCCGGGTGACCTTGGACCCATCTGAAGGGGCCATGTGTGGGAGGAGCTGGGGCAGCCCCAAAACCCACGTGTGGGGTGGCTTTGTGGAGGGAGGGGCTGCTGTGGCCCAGCTTTTCACAGGCTCACTCCTGGACACGAGGACTGGAGCCTATGTTCCCCAGAGGACCTCAGACGGGTCACCAAGCCCTCCCTGGACACAGTCCTGAACCTGTGCGGCTCCCCAGGCAAGGCTAGAGACAGCTTCTGTCACTCCACCCCTTGCTGTAACCACGGCCAGAGGACAATAGGTCAGAGACCCAGGCCAGAGTGGGATGTTTCCCAGGCAGTCTCCCCAGGGAAACATGGGCCACACCCACCAGGGAGCCACAGGCAGACACGGCCACATCTACCTGGGAGTGACATACATGTACTGTCCCCTGAGGCAGACAGCCCAGGAGCTCAAAGTGAATCCTGGAAGGCCCAGAGTGGGGCCAGGTGAGTGAGTGGAACCCCAGGGGTTGGGACTGTCTGTGGCCCTGGGCCAACCCTGATGCAATGTGCTACCCACTTGCCTGCCCCTCCCCCTCCCCCATGCAGGCTGTCAGAGGGTGTAGACCTGCCTTGTGGGTCTTGGCCTCCCTCCCTGAGACGGTGACTCCACCAAGACAAGTGTCTTCAGCCCTGAGCTGTGCCTAGACACAGAGCACTCTGTAGGCCTTGTTAGCCTTATGGCATGGCCATTGCTATGGCTGCAGGGCAGAGTCTGCAGCAGGCTACACCATTAAGACCTTTCTAGTGACCCAGGGATGAGGGTGGGTCTGTCCTCAGGGGCCCCACGTCTTCCAGAGAACACCAGAGTTGTAAGTGGGACCTACCATCAAGTATGCCTGGGTGGGTAGATCCTGGGACCCCATCTCCCATTCTATCAGGTACCACCCCGAGCTCCAGAGCCCTGGACCCCAGTCTCGGGCTGGCACAGAGCTCCAGAGCCCTGGGCCCCAGTCTCAGGGCTAGCACAGAGCTCCAGAGCCCTGGGCCCGACTCGGGGCCGGCACAGAGCTCCGGAGCCCTGGGCCCGTCTCAGGGCTGGCACCAAGTTGGCAGCCACTGCAGAAGAGGAGATATAGAGATCAGTGCTGCTGTCACCAATCTGAATGCTGGCACGCTGACCAAGGGGGTGCCTGGGACAATGGTCAGGGAGGACCTCGAGGAGGAAGGACATTTTAAATTTCTTCTTATTGGAAAGATGTATTTACAGAGAGAAGCAGGGACAGAAAAACCTTCGATCCGCTGGTTCGTTCACTCTAGTGGCTGAGGCTGAGCTGACCTGAAGCCAGGAGCTGCTTCTGGGTCTCCCATGAGGGTGCAGGATTCAAAGGCTTTAGGCCATCCTCCACTGTTTTCCCAAGCCACAAGCAGGGAGCTGGATGGGAAGTGGGGCAGCTGGCACATGCCTACGTGAGATCCTGGCACAAGCAAGGGAAGGATTTACCAGTTGAGCCATTGTACCTGGCCCAGGAGGGGGCATTTGAAAGAGCATGTGGACAAGTTGGGTTTCAGAAGGCCAGGGGAGAGCCTTCTGGGGAAGACCCGGCTGCTGGAGAGGCCTCAGGCTGGGGAGCAGCTGGAGCCCACAGCAAGCTGCTGATCCATCCCTTCCTTACTGTGCCCAGGCTGAGAGTGGCACCCAGGTCTTTGGAACACCAGCCACCCCTCCCATCAGGTGGCTGCAGTTCCGTCATGGCAACACCAGGTGGCCTCAGTCACCAACTGGTCCTCATTTCCGCTCAGATCCTTGGAAGGAGTGAATCAATATCCTAGCAGCCACAGGCCACTCATGATGTCGGACAAGCCCCCCTTCCCCAGGGGAACCTGTCATCATTCAGCAGGAAGCCCCTCCTGGCCCCTTTGTTCCCCATCCTACTTCCTGTCTGTACTGATGTCACCTCAGCACCTCCCACAGGGGCCAGCAGTCTGTCCCCCTGGCTTATTTGTCAAGCCTGGGGTTCTTGAGGTCCAGCTACACTGTGGCCAGTGCTGATGCTTCCTGGACCATGCCCCAGAGTGGTCTGCACCCCCACACAAGTGGCCTGTATCCTCCAGTGGTCTTTACCCCTCACCTAATGAAAGTGATCTGTACCACCCCCAAGGACATTGCACTCCAACAGGCACCCTCTTAGCTTGGGCCTTACAAGTTTGGCAAGCTGTACCTCCAGGAGCAGCTGACCGGACCACTGCGCAGCCCCCTTCTCTGAGATAAGAGGATGCTGTGAGTCCCCTTGAAAGAGACATCAAACATTCCCAGTCTCAAAGCACGTGGGCCTCACTGCTGTGAGCTCTGTCCCCCCACACCACCACCTTCCATGCTTTGCTGTAGCCAATGACAGCCCGTGACCCTGCCTCCCTCTTCTGTTGGTTGGTGGCATGTACCTAGCAGGTGTTCCTTGCTGGGCATCTTCAGCGCCCACTGCACTGCCCGGGAAATGCCAGCCGCAGGGACCCTCCTGCCCCTGCGGTAGTGGCACCCACAGAGCCAACTGGAGGAGGAGTTCTGCCCCAAGTCGTGGAGATGACAGAGGCTCCAAAGGCAGGGACCATGTTGGGACCATGGGCTTCCGTGCTGCAGAAGGTGGACTGAGGCTTGCTTCGCTGTTTTGCAGGGTGCTGTCTTGGACAGGAACCCAGAGGGTCCTGCAGCCCTCAGCTATGGGAACATGGCCACCCTTGCCCATGTATATTGTCTGTGTGCGTGTCTCTGTTCACATGTGTGTACACGTCTATACATGTATCTATGTGCACACACATGTGTGTGACTTACTCAGCATGACTCAGATCCAGAATGAAGCAGTGAGCGATTCCGCTCCATTGGTGACTCCAGATTGGAGCCAGGCCCGTGGTGAAGCACAGTGCTGCAAAGCAAGCATCAGACACAGGGAAATACTCTTGTTTTCCACATGGTGGAGGGGGAAGAGGGCTGAAACTCTGTGCATGGGGGAGATCTGCTTGCCTGTGCACCACAAGGGGAACCAGCTCACAGACCAGGGAAGGCAGAGATCCGATGGCCCTGGGGCACGTGTATGTGTGTGGGCACAGGGCTCTGATGCCCATAGGCTCCTGCCGTAGCAGCATCAGGGTGCGCCAGCGCACACAGACACTCAGATGGCGTGGCCAAAGCCAGGGCAACTGCCAGAGTAAGTCCCAGGACCAACTTGGGTCCTGCAGTTCAAGGGCAGGCTACATGCATCCATGGAAGGGGCAGGAGAGTCTGCCCACTCGTTGAGACTCATCGTGGTGGGATGTGGGCACTGTGCCAGGGGATGAAGTGTAGTTAGTACATACACTGCCAGACCAGAAGTTCTGAAAAAGGGCCAGCCATGTGCTAAAACCACCACCTGCAGCACCGGCATCCCATTTGGGCTCCAGGTCATTTGTGTCCTGGCTGCTCCACTTCTGCTCTAGCTCCTTGCTAGTGCCCTGGGAAAGCACTGGAGCATGGCCCGATGGTGCCTTTCACCAAGGCTCCTGCACCCACATGGCAGACCAGAAGAAGCTGCTGGTTCGTGACTTTAGCCTAGTCCAGCCTTCACTGTGGCAGCCATTTGAGGAGTGGACATGGTATGGAAGGTTTCTCTCTCTGTAATTATTTCAAACAAATAAAAACACACCTTAAAAGAAAAATGAAAAAAAGCCAAGTGGGCACTGTGGCGCAACAGGCTGGGCGAGCCTAGTGGCCCACTGCAGTCCTCAGGTTCCTGCTAGGCCTTTAATAAGATGGCCAAAGCAGGCAATATGAAGACAGTGGAGCAAGGGCATGGGCAGCAGCTATGGCTGGGGTGGTCAGATAGGAGCTGTCTGGTTGAGTCACCTGGGGCTCTACGTGCGGAGTGTGCCCCACAGGAGACTCAGGGGCAGTCAGCAGGGGCCACAGTGGAATGGTGTGAGGCAGATCCTGGGTGTCCATCTGTCTGTCCTCTGTGCAGGCCTGTGACCCTGCTCATCCTCGTCATAGCCCAAGATGCTGGCTAGCTCAGCCACTAGCTGAAGGGCCAGCAGGCATCTGCAGCCACCTCAGCAGCTACACACCAATGAAGGCAGAGCTTGGCAGGGGCTCCAGCTGGAACCCCAACATGTGTCTTCCACTGAAGCCCCAGCCTGGGTTCCACTGCTGCTGCCACAGGCAAGGCATTAGACC